TCCAGAGGAGGGACAGTGGGTGAATAGGTTTGGACGTGTCCAGAGGAGGGACAGTGGGCGTATAGGTTTGGACGTGTCCAGAGGAGGGACAGTGGGTGTGTAGGTTTGGACATGTCCAGAGGAGGGACAGTGGGCTATAGGTTTGGACGTGTCCAGAGGAGGGACAGTGGGTGAATAGGTTTGGACGTGTCCAGAGGAGGGACAGTGGGCGTATAGGTTTGGACGTGTCCAGAGAAGGGACAGTGGGTATATAGGTTTGGACGTGTCTAGAGGAGGGACAGTGGGCGTATAGGTTTGGACGTGTCCAGAGGAGGGACAGTGGGTGTAACGGTTTGGACGTGTCCAGAGGAGGGACAGTGGGTATATAGGTTTGGACGTGTCTAGAGGAGGGACAGTGGGCGTATAGGTTTGGACGTGTCCAGAGGAGGGACAGTGGGTGTAACGGTTTGGACGTGTCCAGAGGAGGGACAGTGGGTGAATAGGTTTGGACGTGTCCAGAGGAGGGACAGTGGGTATATAGGTTTGGACATGTCCAGAGGAGGGACAGTGGGCGTATAGGTTTTGACATGTTTCTTGGTCGTTCTCTCAGTGTTGTGACTCCTGCTGAAGAGAACAGCTGAAGAAACAACATGCCTTGAAACTGCTGTGTTTGGTGCACATCAAACTCATTTACTGTCATTTTCTAATAACATCCATAAAAATAGTTTGTCATAAAGACAAACACATGAACTTATCTGAAGGGTTCTGCTTGTTTTGCAGAATATGATGTCTGTGACGAGAAGATGAAAGACTCTGGCAGGTCTGAAAAGTCTTTCTGCTCTGCTGTTCTTCACTTCCACTCCTGGTTTTCTGTGTTTATCAGACGGTTCTGTTCATTCAGTCCAGTCTCACTCCTCATGGTTCTGTTTATTCAGTGATGAGAAGAAACCAGATGTTCTAAATGAAGACTTCACTTCAGTTCATATTCCAACCGTGTCACAGCCAGAAACACCTCAGGTATGTAAAACGTTTATTTCACTAAAACAGAATCTCCAATTCTAAAAGAATGGGACATTAAAATATCAATTGAAAACGGGAATCAATGATGTGCAAATCTCATAAAAATGTATTTAATTTACAGTGGAACACAGTGGATGCATGTTCTACTGTTCTGGGTCTTTTTTTTGCTGGAGTTTTCATTTAAGATTCAGTTCATCAGCTGGAGGCTTTAACAGAGTCATGCAGTCTGAGGATTAACAGTGTGTTTCTGAAATATGCGAAGACCTCCATGAAAAGATACTGTGTAAATGGGGAGCCTGTGTATAATGAGTATATTGACAACAATACATTAAATCAGTATAATGAATATAATAAATATAATGCGTTTAAAGTATATCAAGTATGAGTGTAATGAGTATAAAGAGTATAATGAATTTATTGAGGATTATGAATATAACCTGTTTAATGTATATAATGAGTTTTCTTCCTTTCTGTTTTGTGCTGAAGGTTGCAGTGTGCTCACCTTTCGCTAGGAGTAAAGCAGACCTGATGTTGTGCAAAGCCATGTGCATCGGTATCGCCTATTCGTCCAACATCGGTGGCATCACCACTCTGCCAGGAACTTCTCCCAACCTCATCTTTTCAGAGTATCTCCACCAGTGAGTGACTAATTACATAGCATGAAAAAGTTTTATTTATAATCTGAGTATTTGCATAGTTTTTTTTACCAGCATTTGATGGAAAAAAAGAAAACATGTCTGCTTAGTTTGCTGTGTGAATGAGGGTTAGATGTTCACTAGTCAATTCTAGGATAGAGGTGTATCGTAACGTCCTGTCCACATGTACACTTTATGAATATGTAAGTATTTGTATTGTTTTATATGGAGTTAAATCAACGACAGTTTACATTGATACTGAAAAAGAGATTTTGGCATTGAAAAATGAAACATTGAAAAAAGAAACACTGAAAAAAGAAACACTGAAAAAAGAAACATTGAAAAATAAAACATTCTCATTGAAAAACACAACGTTGAAAAATGAAACATTGAAAAATGAAACAATGAAAAGATTTTGGCATTGTAACTTTAAAATGCCAAAATCTTTTCAATGTTGTCACTGATTCTGATTTAACTCCATAGTTTCAGGCCTACATCACTCAGTTAAATAAAAAAAAACTGAATTGACACATATGTTTTTGTGTGGATAGAGAAAACAAAACTTTATTAAAGCAATCCTAACCTGACAGCAAAGATAGATTTCATGCTTGTTTTTGCTGCAGATACTATGGCGATGTAGCAATGTTACAGCGCCACATACAGCTCTGCTACAGTCACTGCAGCAACCCGAGTCGTTCTGTTTCTGTACGAATGAAAACATTTGTAGGTGCTGTGCTCACAAGAATATTTAGAACATGTTGACGCTTGTCAAAAAGTAAATGACACTGTATGTTCTGTATGTGTTGAACAAATGGTTAAAAACAAATCAAACTGAGCCGACACTGTTTCCTCTCAGAGTTTACCCAGAGTGTGACTGCATTAACTTTGGGAACTGGCTGCTGCTCTGCCTCCCCATCAGTGTGATCGTCCTCTTCCTCACGTGGATTTGGCTCTACTGGCTCTTCATGGGCTCAAAGTGAGTCCAATACTCTTAACTCCTGTTTGAAACCCATTTATTCAGGATATCATTACACCTGTTACACATCACAGCTTTAAGATGTTTTGCTGTAGTGAAGATAAACCTGTTCCAGGAGACAGAAGCACTTTGTTGTGTGTTTGTAACTTTATTAAAACATGTCATGAAACAATGGTCCAGGTTTAATGAAACAATTGTAACAAATTAACATTTGAAGTCAACATTAGTCAAGTTAGCCGCCACCGCTAACCAACAGATTTGTGTGAAACAAACAGCTTCAGGTCGATGTGTCGGTATGGAGCAGAGCAGTCTGAAAAAGAGAAGGCAGCAAGTAAAGTTTTAGAGGAGGAGTACAAATCACTGGGACCCATGAGGTGAGCCAATATTTATTCATTTTTATTCAATTTAGGAAACTAAGCTGTTTGTTCCTGTTAAAACTGCAGTCACTTATGTGTTTATCTTCTTTAATTAAAGCAGAAAACAGGTGATAATGTTTTTATTCACGTCTGTGTGTTCACAAAACATTTCATGAACCAGTGGATCAATTTTTAATTAATCTCTTAACAGTAGATTTACACCTACGACTGTCATTTTTAGAGTCAACCACATTCAAGATGGCTGCCACACGTAATTCGCATTAGCCAAGTCTACACAGACTGGTTAGCACACTGTAAGGAGCTGAGACTCACTGAACACTCACTCTGAGCACAGCATCGTGAGATATCTCATAAGATTAAATGTAACTTTTTTCATATTTGACTAAAAAGACAACACCTCCATCAACAATCCATGACCGTTCATAAATCATTTTTTAAAGCCCTGACCCGCGTAGACCTGAGCTTTCAGAAAGGAAGCTAGCATCACAGAACTAAGAGTCACAGAGCAGAGCAGCTGCTTCCACATGAAGCACTACACAATAAATATCTGACCAACATCTCCCACATTTCATCTTTCAAACCCCAATAAATGAACTCAGTTTAGTAATTAATAAACTGGAGTGCTATACATCATCATCACCATCTGTCTTCTCAGCTATAAATCTGTTTTTGTTGCACTTTTAAACAGATGTATGTTTTACATCTTCACATGTCGACTGTCACAGTTCTGTTACGCCTGTCAGCAGCACAGAGGGGTAAAAGTGATGCCTTGGTTTCATGTCAGGCATGCCGCTTCGGTAGTTTCAGAAATCCCTCTGAGGGGACCAGAAGTCCGCATTGAAGTGTTTTGAGAAAGAGCCTCAAATATCTGGTGTAAAAGGCTGTGAGTGATGCATGGTTTGTTTTTCAGACCTCAGGAGATCTTCACTGGGGTGGTTTTCTTGTTGATGGTCTTGTTGTGGTTAACAAGAGCTCCAGGTTTCATACCTGGCTGGGCTTCCCTTTTCTCTCAGTGAGTCACACGTCTTTATTTTATTTTTTACATCCTTTTGTTATCTGGGATCGCTTCTGATTCACGTCTTCGGTTCCTTCTTGAGCAGTCAGACTGGCTACATCACAGATGCCACCGTGGCCTTGGCTCTGGGCCTCCTCTTCTTCATCGTCCCTGCTCATGGACTTCATAAAAAATATGGTAACAACATGAAATGGTTGATTTTACACATTATAGTTTGGTTGGTCAAATTGAACAGCACCTAGTACCAGAAAGTACCAAAGAAACATGAAACAACAAAATGAAACAGGAAGTGAGATAAATGGTGAAAAACTAAATCCACAGAAGGAGATTAGCTAAATGGTGTTTTAAAAAACTAAACTCCAAGGAACCATTCATCTATTTTCTTTACCAGTCACCGTACGACAGGTTTTGGCCCATCTAATAATTTTCATAACATTTTTATTTAAATATATGTAAAATTTTAAATACAAATAACCAAGTGATAATACTCACCAAGGCAGTTGAATTATGGAAATAATTTGTATACTATGGTGGAATTTCAGTCACTAATGAACTCTGTACTACACTATTGCTAAATATCTGACTTTATTAGTGTACAATTGTGCACATGGTGTAATAAACTATGAATCAGATCATCAGAATTATGGTTTTTGTCAGCTAATGTGAACTTATAGCTGATTGTTTCTCTTATTTTTCTCTTTCCCGTAGAGTCCATGATATCCTGGGACGAATTCCAGGCCTTGATGCCGTGGAAGGTGGCCCTGCTGGTGGGTGGAGGATTTGCTCTGGCTGAAGGCGCACAGGTTGGCTGTTGATTTGTTGAAGCATAAACTGTATAAATTAAGCAGGTTATCGACAGGGATATTAATAACACTGTTATTATGCCTCCAACACTTGACATTCTGAAAGATCCTGTTGGTTTAATCTTAGAATATATTCAGATTTTGTCCTGAAAATTTAACCCATTTTGCATTTTATATGCTTTATTCTTATCACCTGTTTCTGAAGTCTGTGTGTGTATTCTCCCTAATGATCCTAGGAGCTCTGCTAGAGTCTCCCAGGCAGACTGGTCCTAGATGACAGACCAGACAAAGAGCAATTCAGAATATGTATATAGACAGAAGACAAGAAGGAACTCAGTGTCTCTCACCTAGATGTGTGTAAGGGCCCTACCCTAAAGCCAGGCCTGGAGGAGGGGCTCATCCATGATTGCCTGGTGACCTGGGCCCCAGGTTTAGCTCTGGCTCTTACATGGGTTTGCCTTCTTGTGGGTCCACCACCTTCAGGAAGGGTTTTACAAGTCGGGTGCATGATGCTTGGGTGACAGCCTTGGTTAGTTTTAGTATTTTTTGGTGGGGGGCCTTGACGCTCTGACCCTGGCTCACCAAAGCTGGACCCTGGGACATGGAACATGACCTCTCTGGGAAGAAAGGAGCCTGAGCTTGTGAGTGAGATTGGGAGGTACCAACTAGTTGTAGTCGGGATCACCCCAGTAGGGATGTAACAAAACATCAATCCACATCACTATATTGATTAAATGATTAATGATTCAATTACATAACGCCAAAATTAAAACACTGAGCCATGGATCATACCATGTCGATCGCAGACTTGTGAATTAAATTGAATTGAACTTAACTGTTTCACTACAGATATTTTGGTATTGAGGAAAATTGTATCGTCATTCAAACAAACAAACAACATCAATATAATATTGTATTGTAATAAAGCTGCTGATTTACAACCCTACACCCTGACACACAGCATGGGCTCTGGAACCAATCTACTTCAGAGGAACTAGACACTTTACCACTTTAGATGGGCCCATGGTGAGAGGCCCCATGCTGGTGTGGGTCTGCTTATTGCACTCTGGCATGGTGCCTTTGTGTCAAAGTGTTCCATCTGTGGACTCCATTATTCAAAATTTGTGGTAGTTGTATCAGTTTTTTTTGCAGTACATGCTTCACGTGTTATTCATTTTGCAAGTACTTTGCCTAAAACCCCAACATTAATTGTTGAAGTCCACTGTTTGTGTTTAAAACCAAGGAATTAGATTACAGTGATACTCTCAGAAGGTAATTATTGATGGTCTACAACTTATAAAAAATAAAATCCCACAAGATATTGCATGAGACTGGGTTTAACATTATTATCCAGATTTGGGAAATCAGCCCTAACTTCATCATTTCTCTACATAACATGATCTCAGTCTAAAACTCTAGCATGAAAAGAGTTCAGTAAACATTTCTTCATAGAATGCGAGATTTTAAATTGTTTCTGGACAATATGTGACATATTAAAGTGAAAACAGACTAAAATCTATGATTCTTAATCTCATTATGTGTTTGCCTGTAGGAGTCGGGGCTGTCTTTGTGGGTGGCTGAGCTGCTGAGCCCCTTGGGTGATCTGCCAGTGTTGGCAACAATCACAATCGCCTGCGTTATTGTCACCACGCTGACAGAAGTGACCAGCAACGCAGCAACCATCACCATCTTCCTCCCAATCCTCTCTCCTCTGGTAGGTTCTGTATTCTCACCCACAAGGCTGCATATTTTTTTTCTGATTTGAGAATGCAATTATGACAGAATGATAGATCACTAACATTATCCTGAATGTAGTAAAACAAACATAGAAAAAGAATTTATTTTTGGTCCTCAGACCTGTTTTTTTCTGTAACTGATGTGTCTTCAGGCTGAGGCCATCCATGTGAACCCTTTATACGTACTCATCCCCACCACCCTGTGCACGTCCTTCTCTTTCCTGCTGCCTGTCTCCAACCCATCCAATGCTGTTGTGTTTACATACGGACACATCAGCATCATGGACATGGTAGGTCCTACAATCTGCAGAAGATACAGAGCAATGGCTAAAATACACAGAAAGAAGTTTGACAGTTTCTTTGCTTATGCCAGTGGTTCTCAATACGTGGGACATGATCCCTTGAGAGAGGGGCGTTGATGCAGCACCGTTATAGAAGAACCACTGGTTGATACTTTTCTTTTAGTCTTGTGTCTCATTCAAATCTCTGCTGCAGGTGAAGGCGGGGCTTGGTGTCAATGTGATTGGCGTTCTTGCTGTCCTGCTGGGTGTGGGGACATGGGGAGTCCCCCTCTTTTCTCTTGATACGTACCCTGACTGGGCACCAGTTCTTCCAGGCTTCAACTCCACGATACCTTGATGATGGACCCAAACAGTTTTTTTGTTTGTTTGTTTGTACAAAAAGAGACTCCAAAATACCATTCCTCTATTCTAAGACTCAAACTCCCTATAAATAAAACTGGCAAAATTATATTTAGACAATAATCTGGTGAAAGGTTTGACATATTTTCCTAACAGAGACTTATTTGTAGATTCAAACTGACAAATACATTCTGATATCAATGCTGAATAACAAAGATCAAAAACGTTTCAGTAAAACAATCAGTAGACCAATTGAGGGTGAAGAGTTGGTGGACCAACTGTTTACCCTCACTAGGGTCCTTGAGGGGTCATGGGAGTTTGCACATCCAGTCTACATGTGTTTTGTTGACTTCCTGAAGGCATGTGACCATGTTCCTCGAGGTACACTGTGGGGGTGCTCTGTGAGTTTGGAATTTTGAGTCCGTTGTTATGGGCCATTCAGTATCTATACAAGTGGTGCGAGTGTTTGGTTCTCATTGCCGGTAGTAAGTTGCACCCCTTTAGAGTGGGAGTTGGACTCCGTCAGGGACACCCGTTGTCTCCGATTCTGTTCATAACTTACATGGACAGAATTTCTCACTGCAGTCAGCAGGTGAAGGAAGTCCTGTTCGATGGCCTCAGAATTCCATCTCTGCTATTTGCAGATGATGTGGTCCTGTTTGTGTCATGGTGTTGTGATCTTCAGCTCTCACTGGAGCAATTCAGAGCTGAGATGAGGATCAGAACCTCCAAATCTGGGTCCTTCAGGCATGTCCAACTGGTTGGAGACACTAGGACATACTGGAAGATGTGGCTGGGGGGAAAAAGAGGTCTGGACCTCTCTGATCAACCTGCTGCACCCACGACCCGACTCTGGAACAATGGAAGATATTGGATGGATGAATAGATGGGTGGCTGTACAGCCTCAATGTTTAACATAGTATTTCAAACTCAACCAAAAATGACTTCATCAGCATAACCACTCGAGCTTTAAATTTAACTTTTAATAGTAGTCCTTAACTTGAACTTAGTCTTTAGCTTAGAGGACTTGAGCTCAGTCCTAAAAATGCTCTCGAGCTGAGAGACACTTTTTGTTTGGTGTCGTCCAAACGTCCATCCATCTGCTATCTTTACCTGTTTTTTTCTTTCCTGGGTTGTAGGAGTCACTTGTGCCTTATTTTCAGAAGTTGACAGTTTCATGAGAAAAAAAAAGTTTAGTTTTATTCTGAAGTTTTGAAATTCTTCTGTCTGCCAGCTGTCCTTGAAAAGGTGATATTGATCCTGTTTCGAGGCACATTCTTGCTGCAGATTAGGTTACTGACTAATCTTGGCAGACTTTGTTGAAAATGTGCTCAGAACAGTTGGTGTGAGCAAACATTGAAATTTATTTTGTGGCTGAGTGGTTAGGGGAGTCGTCCTCTAATGCGAGATTTGGCGGTTTGATTCCAAAACTATTCGGTCACATGTCGAAGTGTCTTTGGGCAAGACCTTGAACTGCCTCTGGTGTGTGTCCCATCAGTGTATGAATGTGATCTAAAGCACTGACTAGTCTCTATAGATTGATTTATGTAGATTATCTTTGTAGCGAGACAGTAGAGTGCTGTGTGAATGGGTAAATGTGAACACAGACAGTAAGGTGCTTTGAACCCTGGCTGTATAGAAAGAAGTTGAATAAGTACAGCCCATTCACCATCTACAGAAAAATATTTCTGGCTGCTGTTAAATGTTTTAAGAATGACACAAAAATAAATGTCACAAAGTTTGCTGCCTCAGTTTAATGATGGTAATTTGTATCTAGTCTAAAACGTTTTGAAAAGTGACAAGATAAATTGAAATTAAGCACTTATATGGAAGAGCAAATTGGATGTTTTAAAAGAAGAAAGGTGCCTAAAATCTTTGTTCTTCCTCTGTTGCCATGGTTATCTGTGAGGAAACATGTACAGTGGTTTGCAAAAGTATTCATACCCCTTGAACTTTTCCATATTTTGTCACATTACAACCACAAACATAAATATATTTCARTGGAATTTAATGTGAAAGACCAACACAAAGTGGTATACAATTGTGAAGTGGAAGCAAAATTTTACATGAATCAAAACATTTTTTACAAATAAAAAACTGAAAAGTGCGATGTGCAAAATTATTCAGCCCCCCTGAGTCAATACATTGTGGAGCCACCTTTTGCTGCAATTACAGCTGCAAGTCTTTTAGGGTATGTCTCCACCAGCTTTGCACATCTAGTGACTGCAATTCTTGCCCATTCCTCCTTGCAAAACAGCTCAAGCTCAGTCAGATTGGATGGAGAGCGTTTGTGAACAGCAGTTTTGAGATCTTGCCACAAATTCTCAATTGGGTTTAGGTCTGGACTTTGACTGGGCCATTCTAACACATGAATATTCTTTTTTTTAAACCACTCCATTGTTGCTTTGGCTTTATGTTTAGGGTCGTTGTCCTGCTGGAAGGTGAACCTCCGCCCCAGTCTCAAATCTTTTGCTGACTCCAACAGGTTTTCTTCCAAGATTGCCCTGTATTTGGCTCCATCCATCTTCCCCATCAACTTTGACCAACTTCCCGGTCCCTGCTGAAGAGAAGCACCCCCAGAGCATGATGCTGCCACCACCATATTTGACAGTGGGGATGGTGTTTTCAGAGTGATGTGCAGTGTTCTTTCTCCGCCACACATAGCGTTTTGCATTGTGGCCAAAAAGTTCAATTTTGGTCTCGTCTGACCAAAGCACCTTCTTCCACATGTTTGCTGTGTCCTCAACATGGCTTCTGGCAAACTGCAAACGGGACTTCTTATGGTTTTCTTTTAACAATGGCTTTCTCCTTGCCACTCTTCCATAAAGACCACATTTGTGTAGTGCGCGACTAATTGTTGTCCTGTGGACAGTTTCCCCCACCTGAGCTGTGGCTCTCTGCATTTCATCCAGAGTCACCATGGGCCTCTTGGCTGCCTCTCTGATCAGTGATCTCCTTGTTCGCCCTGTAAGTTTAGGTGGACGGCCTTGTCTTGGCAGGTTTACTGTGGTGCCATACTCTTTCCATTTCCGGATGATGGATTGAACAGTGCTCCGTGAGATGTTCAAAGCTTGGGAAATCTTTTTATAACCTAAGCCTGCTTTAAACTTCTCCAAAACCATATTCCTAACCTGTCTGGTGTGTTCTTTGGACTTCATGATGCTGTTTGCTCCCCAATATTCTCTTAACCAACATCTGAGGCCGTCACGGAGCAGCTGTATTTGTACTGAGATTAGATTACACACAGGTGGACCCTTTTGAGTCATTAGCAGTCATCAGGCAACTTCTGAATGCAATTGGTTGCACTCAGGGAAAAGGGGGCTGAATACTTTTGCACGTCGCACTTTTCAGTTTTTTATTTGTAAAAAATGTTTTGATTCATGTAAAATTTTGCTTCCACTTCACAATTGTATACCACTTTGTGTTGGTCTTTCACATTAAATTCCAGTGAAATATATTTATGTTTGTGGTTGTAATGTGACAAAATATGGAAAAGTTCAAGGGGTATGAATACTTTTGCAAACCACTGTATGTAGTTGACCACAGTGAAGCCACAGTCATTTGTGTTGGTTTCCTTAGAAACTAATTAATAAATGTTAGCAGAAACCCCCAGAATTTTGCAGACTGCAAATATCTTTATCAATTTTTAATGGCAGTTTTCTTGTAGCAATGTGTACCTTTTCATGTATTTTAAATTTAAATTATTAAGAACTAACTAATACTGAAACATTTTGTAAATATTCTTGTAAATTTAGCTAATGTTTTGTATAAAATCAAGTCAAATGAGGCATCTCCTGGGCCCTCCAGCTCAACACTCCCACGTCGTAACAGTTTTCTACCATTTGTAGCTTCCTCAGTGTTTCACTGAGTGATCTCCTCCTGCAGCTCCTGAAGAGGAGGCGCCACCCTGAGGAGCTGTGAAGTCATTATCTTAATCATTTACCTTCATCATGCTGCACAGATAATTCATCATCTTTATTATCTGTAATCAAGATGGGACAGAATGACAGCTTAGTGGTTGGTATTGTTCATCACAGTAAGAAGATCCTGGGTTTAATTCCCATTTTGGACCAGTTCTACACACATTAGTGTGGGTTTTCTCTGGTATACTCCAGGCAAAAATATATTTTTGGTGCGTACCCTCTATTTTATTATATTTTTATTAAACTAATTTAACTTATTAAAGTATGTTATATGAAGTTAAATAACTACTGTATTTATATCCCAAAGAAAACATGCTCAGGAGCATATAGGGTTTTTCTGACCATATTTAAAATTAGAAGTTTTCACAAGTCATAGGTGCTCTACAAACTAACTCCCATGAATTTCAGTTACTGCTTTGTGACAAAAGCCCTGGTAAAACTGCAGCTAAATCAACCAGTTATCAGATCATCAGGAACCTCAGAGGTTCAGTTCTTGCGAAGACGTCTGGGACACCTAATAAAGATGGACAGGTACCAGGACCATCTTCTCAGTTGATCTAGCTGAACATTCAGGGCAGAGCTTGTTCAGGAAAGAAAGCAGGCAGGAGCCTTTCTAAGGATGGCCTGATGACAAAAAGAGCAGCAAAGAAACAACTTTCCTCTAAGAAAAATTGTTTTGATGCCGTTTCCAGCATTACAGCAAAAACTAAGTGGTTCAGAGAACAAAACATCCAAATTCTGCGTCCACGGTCAGGGAACTCCCCTGACTTTGATCCCATTGATAACTTGTGGTCAACCATTTAGAGGCAAGTTGACTCTAAAACTCTCCTGGCATCAGTCCCACAAGTTGATTGACAGCAGGCTAAGGTAAACAACAGAGGGCTTAAAAAAGTAGGTCCAACACTGTAAATACTTACTCTTTGTATAAATTTAATGTAATGTATATTTCAGGGACTCAATAATACGTCAGGATAAACACATGTGACAAACAGATAAAAAACACTGAGGCATCAGATTGTAAGGAAACCAATAGTTGTGTCATTCTCTAAACTTTTAGGTTTTGTTTTTCTAAGTCTGTTTGAACATATCTGCTTCGTTCACGAAGGAAGAAATGAAATGACAGAAGTGAAACCAAACAGAAAAATCCTTTCAGTGATGCTGTGTTTTGTGCATTCTAAACGTGTCCATGTGAGGTTTGTTTCACTTTAATGTGATTATTACAAAACAGTTTTATTGTTTGAAAAGATTCTTAATTGTTAATTCAAATACCGAATTTCTACTTGTTTTGAATTTGTAAATTTGTTGTCCTTAAAAGAAGTTTTGTAATAAATAAAAGTTGACTCCAGTTTCAGTGTCTCTCTGCGGGTACACAACAACCTCCAGTATCAGACAACAAAGTTACTGGAGTGATTTTCCAGATAAACAAAATGTAGCAAAAATACACTTGAACAATCTGACTATCACGAGACAAAAAGTTAAGATAAAATATTAATCAAAACTTATTGTTGTGGTTAAGAGGTTTATCGCTTTGTAGGAGTTTTCCAACCACTTCCCACTGGAAGGAGACCCCAGACCCAGAATCTGGTCTGAAAACAACTTGGGGTCCCTCCGGAGGAGCTGAAGAGGAGGAGAGGGAGGTCTGGGTTTCCTTCCTGTTGCCTCTGTGACCGACAGTATGTGAGCGTCTGAAGGTGATGATACAGGATTTGTAAAACTGACTGGATTATCTTAGGCTATGTTCACTCTGCAGGCAAATACGACCCATATCTGATTTGTACATGACACTCTGAATGTAGGCAGTCTTTGATCCAGAATCAGACACAAAGGACCTCAAAAAACAAGATTGTTTATTAAAAAACCCCCACAAAGGTTCAATGTGGTGGCAAACTAACTTTCAAGAAGCGAAAACTCCTGGAGAAAAACTCAGGTCATGTGGCTGAATCCATCTTAAAACAGAACTGAAAACTAACACCAAGACACACTTGGACAGGGAAGAGAGGTGGATCCGATGGAGAATAACTCTGCAGACAGTAATGAGGAGATCAAGAAACCTCTGAAGTTCATGAGAGCAGAACTATCAAAGTTGGCATCGCCGCATGAACTTTTGATCAGTCTGAGTAAAGAAGTGAAGTTGTTGAAAGTTGTGAAAAAGGACAGAAATTAAAAGATAACTGAACTGGAGTAAAGAGTGGATGATCTGGACCAGTGTACAAGGAGAGATGATTTGTTAATTACTGGTCTTTCTAATTACTTCTCTCTCTGTTTTTCTCTTCACAAAAAAAACATAATGGTGTGGAGGGGATGGCTATAAGGGGAGAAGGGAGGCCATCCATAGAAAAAAAAATACCCTACGTGGAAAAAATTTCCGCAGATAACTTTGTGTAAAGGTCAAATATTGGTTCTCTGTACACAAA